GGTTCACAGGCAATGTTCGGCGCCTGCGGTCAGGGCTTTGGACCCCTGTCCCGATGGGTGCTGTGACGACCGTGTGCAGCCGAGAGGGGACCCGACCCCCGGGTGAGGGGCCCTGTGCTGCCTGCAGTGGGGCAAGCTGCCAGGCCTCTCGGGAGTGCAGCCCCCCTCCTGAGCTGCTTGCCAAGCCGGGAGGGGGGGCAGGCAGCATGTGTTACGGGAGAGGCTCAGCCCTTGGCCCTGGAGCCCTTAAGGACAGGTATTCTGGGTGTTTTCTCAGCACGATTGTTCACCCCCGGGGTGCCCATGGAGGACCCGGTGTGAGAGCCCTTCCTGCATGCACTTATGAGCTGCTTGTGGCCATGCCCCAAACCCCCACCAGCCTGCCCGTCCTGAGAGGCCAGGAACAAGAATTAAGGATATGTTTGACCTTATTTAGACAGCTCTTTCTCAAACAATTAGATCTGCCATGGGTTGTGCTGATGCAGAAAGCCAGACTGCCAAAATCTGGCTCCTGAGGTCGGTGGGGCTGCCTATTTGCTGGAGGGAGCCTGGGAGGGAGGGTGACAAAAAGGCTTTTCCTTGCTGCTCCTTGCCCGCAGCAGCACTGAGCCTGGGGGAAGGAGATGTGAAGAAAATATAGTGGTAGCTACAATTTTGCTCCACCACTCCTTGTCCCTCTTAAGGGCTCCCCACCCTTGGGTGTGATGCAGAGTTTGGCTTGCAGAAAGACAGTGAAAATCCTCCTTAAACACAGGCCTGCTGACCCCACAGCTTTGCCAGTGCCTTACCTGAGTGCTGTGCTTGCTCTGTTACCTAATCACAGCTCCCCTGAGAGGACACCATTCCGCTTTGGGCTCCAGAGGCACCCAGGAGCTTTTCCACCCTTCCTCCAGCAGCTCTCCAGTCTCAGCAGTTCAGGAGCTCAGCAATGGGGACTGTGAGCATTTGGGAGGGCTCAGGGGTTTTGCAGCCCCTGCTATGCAGCATGCCTGTGTGCACCTTGGTTTTAGCTCTGGGATCTCCCCCTACAGAGGAGTGCCCTGTCTCTGCAGCCAGTGTGTTGATACAGATTTTCCATGCGAGGCCATGTTTGGGCTGCCTGCACAAGAGACCTAGTTTCTGTGCTCCCTGCTGCTGGAAATATCCCAGCTGCCTGCAGCAGAGAGCAAGCAAGGAGAGCTATGGGCTGGTGGATGGCCAGGCAGCAGAGCAGGCAGGCCAGCAGCTGTGCTGGTGGGCAGAGCACGGTGGGGTCAATTTTCAGAGGCTGACAGGGGCAGCATGGTGCATGCTGAGGCTGGTTCACCACCCATGTGACCCCTGTGTCAGGACCATGGTGAGGGACTGGCAGGTTTCCTGTGGACGTCTCTCGACCCAGGGAATGATGGACAGGACACCCCAGTCCATGGGTATCCTTCTTTTCTGCTGCGCTCAGGATGGAGATGTTCAGGACCTCCCAGCCTAGGAACAGGAGAGAGGACGCCAAGCAGGGCAAGACACAACAGCCATGGCTGCACATGGCCGGCGCACCAAGGTGCTCCCCTCCGAACTGAACAAGGTGTGCCCCGAGAGAGGAGACAACCCTGCCACGCACCCCAGGAAGATGAGTGACTTCGAGGTGGTCCCCAACCTCCAGCAGAGCAGTAGCAGTGTCTCGAAGAGCAGGCGGAAGGCACATTTCCCCACCGGCAGCAATGAAAAGGCAAGTTCAGAAGGTGCTGGAAGAGGGGGCGATTGGCCACACATAACAGAAGAGCATTAATGAGTTACCTGATGACTCAGTAATGGGAGCATTAATAACAGATCACTTTAGTTTTAGGGACAGACAGAAAACCCCCAAACATCTGAGGTACATGTCCAGCATTCATATCTCCTGTCCTTGGAGTACACCTGGCTTTGTCCTTGCAGATAGCAATGGAGCTTTCTTCCTTCACATCAAAGAAGCACCCAGATATGCTCCAAGCACCAGGGTGTCTGGTCCCTGGCATAACTTCTGGCCCTTTGCAGAAACCCTGACCCCTTGCTGCTTTTCCTGCTCCTTCAGGAAAATCTCATCTCGTGGATTCCTGAAAATATCCAGAAGAAAGAGTGCACCTACTTTGTTGAAAGCTCCCAGACATCAGATTCTGGGTAAGTCAGACAGTCCCTCATTCCCCTCCCCTGCCAGGGCAGAAGAAGGGGTGTTTGGTGACAAAGCAACAGCACCAGAAAAATCCCACCTTTCTGTCAAGGGAGCTGGTGTCAAGGGGATTCACAAAGTCCTTTTTGACTAGTTCTTCACCCTGCTGTGTGTCACCACATGACTGATATCCCATGTCCCAGTGAGGAACCTTTCTGATGCTTTCGCATGCAGTCTGTACTTCATCCAGAACGACCTTAGTATTTCTGCCCTAAACCTCTACAGGCAGAAATACCATTTTTTTGCTAAATTTCCCCCCAAACAATGCCTTTGTTTCTGCACAAGTTCTGAGCTGGAAGATGAGCTGGGTGGAAGATGCCGATGCCTGTGGTATTCTTAATGAGAATGCCAACACCTCCTGCCTGGGCTGAGGCAGGTGGGCCAGCTGGGCTTTGCCTTTTGGGTTTAGATTATTTTGAGCAAAGTTGGTGGTGTGTGTTTCAGGAGGATTGTGTGTGAGTGCGGCTATCTCAGGGAACAGCACCTGGAAGATGCTGCCAAACCTCCCATCTTCCTGGGGAAGGAATGGGACCCCAGCAGGCACATCCAGGAAATGCCAACAGATGCCTTCGGTGATATCCACTTCACGGGCCTGGGACAAAAGATGGGGAAGGTGATCTGTTTTTCCTGTCTGTGTTGTATGGGGAGTCAGTGTTCAGGTTCTTTCCATGGCAGATGAAATGCAAGTATTTCCTTCCTGAATGAGAGGCGGGTAGGATAGTGTGGAAATGCCCCAAAGGCAACACTGACCCAAGCAGAGGACAGGGTGTGGGCCAGGATCCCTCCTCTCTCCCAGCCCTGAACCTAGTCCCTTTCTGAAACTACAAGACTGATCTTCACACTGTGAGGCCCATGCTCCAAGGAGTGGCTGTTCCCTGTCCTTGTCCTTAGGTTCATCTTGGGAATGCTTGGTCCCAGGGAAGTGAATGGGAACAAGGTCATGCACAAAGACCTGGGGCAGCAGCAACAGGACTCTGCTGGGAAATGGCATGGGAAGCCCCTGGTTCTTTGCTGGGACAGGAGAAATTGTGGTGCAGGTGCCCTGTTACCCTCACCCTGTTGTTTTTACCTGAAATGTGTGTATGTTCCCCTTTTTGCAGTATGTGCGCGTCTCCTCGGATACCCCTCCACGGGTCATCTACCACCTCATGACACAGCATTGGGGCCTCGATGCACCCAACCTGCTCATCTCAGTCACTGGGGGAGCCAAAAACTTCATCATGAAGCCAAGGCTGAAGAACATCTTCCGGCAAGGGCTAGTCAAAGTGGCCCAGACCACTGGTAAGAGATGCAGAGGCTCTCCCTGAGATTGCAGCAGGAGAGGGGCCTGTCATCTGAGCATGCCAGGTTCAGTGAGTTGGGCTGCTGTGGAGATTCCAAGCTGGCCCAGGAGGCCTGTAGGTCCCTGTCTGGACTACCACCACCAGGGATGGACTGTTCTTGCTCAATTGCTGCAAACAGGCTCATAGGGAGCTGGACTGAGAGATGCAACACTGTGCTGAAGACAGCATCTCCTGTGCTGCCAGGGCTTGATGTAGTGGGCAGGGAAGACATCTTCTGGGGGATAGAGCATCTCTGAGGACCAGGTGTTCCTGCAGCTATATAGGGGGATGCTAGGAGATTGCTGTGAGCAGAGCCTCTCCCTTCCCAAGACCCTCTCTGACCCCCAGGGGCCTGGATCATCACAGGGGGGTCCCATGCTGGTGTGATGAAACAGGTGGGAGAGGCAGTGCGAGACTTCATCCTGAGCTGCAGCCACAAGGAGGGCGAGATTGTCACCATTGGCATAGCTACCTGGGGGACTGTGTACAACCGGGAGAGCCTCATCTGCCCCATGGTGAGCCAGGCAGAGTTGGAGATGTGTTTGCTTTGCCTATGCCTGGACTGCTGGGGAAGTCCTGCCAAGGGCCGTGGTGGGAATGGGTGCTTCAAGACGTGCTTGTGGCTGGCAGCCCTGGAAAACTCAGCCGCACCAGAAAGAGTGATGGTCCCGGGCTGATGTTTGCTGAGAAGCCACTCTACCCTTCCCAGTGTCTTGTGTAGGTGCTGCGCTTCCCCTGGGAGGACCCTTGCGGGTGTGAGGGCAGGTGGAGCAGAGACAGAGGAGCATGGGGCAAGGCTAACATAAGGACTGCAGGGGGGGCAGGGGAGGCTGTCTGGCCAGACTGGCCCCACGTGCTGGCCTGTTCCTGTCCCACGTGCTGGTTGCTCTGGGCATCTGGTGCTCCTCTGCAGCCCTGCCAGGCTTTTCCCAGAGTCTCTCCTCCTGCACCTTACAGGGTGGCTTTCCAGCTGAGTACATACTGGATGAGGAGAACCAAGGCAACCTGTCATGCCTGGACAGCAACCACTCCCACTTCATCCTGGTGGACGATGGGACCCATGGAAGGTATGGGGTGGAAATCCCCCTGAGGACCAGACTGGAGAAGTTCATTTCAGAGCAGACCAAGGTGAAAGGAGGTAATGGCAACACATAGCCAGGCCTGAGGCAGGGGAGGGCACAAGGGCCATCCATTGGTAAGGGGTGCCCATCCTGGCCTCCAGTGAGTGGGGAGGCTGTGGCTTCCCTGGAGGATCCAGGCAAGGGGTTTGAGAGGATTGTCATGATAAATGTGGAACCTGGTTCCTCAGTGACACAAATCAAAGAGACTTTCTCTGCCAGCTGCTTGACTAATGGGGTCACAAGAGGGCTCCCCAAACCTTGTGATGCTGAGCTGATCAGGGAGAGTTGTTTCTCCCAAAGGGCCAGGCCTCCAAGGGGGCTTCTCACTGTGCAGATGATCTTCTATTCTAACACATGCACACACATGCTCCAGCAGCATGACTGCCAGGAGATCGTCTCCCCTCTTTCCTGGAGCCTGGCATGTCAGGGGCAGCGCTCCCACCTTGCCTTTCACACCCCACTGCTCAGAGGGGACCACATTCAGCTGCATGGCAGGGGGGGCTGCCCCACAGGGAGGTCACCCTGGGCTCTGCTTCCCCGCAGGCGTCGCCATCAAGATTCCCATCGTGTGTGTGGTGCTGGAAGGAGGCCCCGGGACACTTGATGTAAGGAACTGCTTCTACCCTCTCCCAGCAGAGCTGAGAGTGGGTGGTGGTGGGAGGGAGCAGCTCCTTGCCCCGGGGTGCTGCTCTCCAGCGTTGGTGTGAGTGTGGTGCCACACTAGCTGAAATGCAGCTGGACGGGAGTGCTGCAGAGCAGCAGTGTGTGTCTCAGGCTCAGAGAGGGTCCGCTGGCCTCTGGGTGGAATTAGGACCAGCCTCCCCACTCTGCTGCAGACCATCTACAACGCCATCACCAACGGGACCCCCTGTGTGATTGTGGAAGGGTCTGGGCGTGTGGCCGATGTCATCGCACAGGTAGCCAGCCTGCCTGTGCCCAAAATAACCATTGCCTTGATCCAGAAGAAGCTGAGCGTGTTCTTCCATGACAGCTATGAGCTCTTCACTGACGGCAAGCTGGTGGAATGGACCAAGAAGGTAAGCCTCTTGCAGGCAGACAGCTCCTCTCGCTGAGCTTGTGGAGATCAAAGGTGTCCCCAGGAGTCCTTGCCCATAAGCATCAAGGCTCCCAGTGTGAAGTTTAAGGCTGATCTTCTGCCAACTACCCATTGCCCCCTAGCCATGCTCAGCATTGTCCTGTTGGGCACCCCAAGGGCTCGAGCGCTGCTCCTCCACTGCCTGCTCCCTTTGGGCAGAGAGATACCAGCTGGGCTGGGAGACACAGCACAGGGGGTCTGCAGGCAACCTAAGGGGAGCAAGGAATTGCCCCACACAGGACAGGGGCTGCGGGAAGCGGCAGTGAGGAGATGCTGCTGCTGTTTGCTTGCCCATGGCTCTCCTTGTAGATCCAAGACATAGTGCGGAGCCGGCAGCTCCTGACCATTTTCAGAGAGGGCAAATATGGCCAGCAGGATGTGGACGTGGCCATCCTCCAGGCCCTGTTCAAAGGTGAGGGGTGGGGAGGTGCTTGGGAGGATGGGGCGAGATGAATGGGATGGGGGTCACAAGTCATCTCCTGCAGATGCTTGACTTATGGGGTCACCAAAGGGGTCCCCAAACCTCATGGTGCTGAGCTGATTGGGGAGAGATATTTCAACCCAAAGGGCCAGGCCTCCAAGGGGGCTTCCAGATGGTATCTTCTCACCACATAAATGTTCCTCTGTTCTAACACATGCACTTCGCATGCAGCATCACGAAACCAGGACCACTTTGGTCATGAGAACTGGGACCACCAGCTGAAGTTAGCTGTGGCCTGGAACAGGGTGGACATTGCTCGGAGTGAGATCTTCACGGACGACCATGAGTGGAAGGTAAGGGAGTACCTGTGCTGCTTGTCTGGTCAGGCTTACAGCTTGTCAGGTCCCAGTTGAAGACTGTGGATATTGAGGGCACTGTTCACCCCAGCTGTGCCTGGGGAGAGTTTTTGAGGGCATTTCTCTAGGACCCTAAACTCCCTCCACATTGTGAGGGGCTCTTAATCTGTCCTGTCTTTCAAAAGTGCACTCAAATACCCAAAGAAGAGGTGAGCACACCCTGCAATTCATTGCTTGGAAAGGTCCTATTTGGCTTGTAATAGTTTACAAGGGTGATTGATCAGTATTTTGTTCAAAACCTTTTAAAGACAATCCACCAACCTAGAGCCAAAAATACCTCTTGCCAGCTCTGCTCTGTGGTCGCTGCTCATGCCACATTGTCAAATGGCAACTTGTCTCTAAACTCATCTCACCCAGCCTGGCGCTTCCCTGTTCAAACTTTACTATAGAGTGGGGCAGGGAGCAGCACAAGCCAGCTCTGCTGTCCCATGTCTGTTCCAGCTGTTGAGAAGTCAAAGCTGAGCAAGGTTCTCTGTCCTTTCTGCTGGGGCTGTGGGACTTGGAAGGGATTTTTCCTATTTCGTTTGACAGTTTGGATTCCCCTAGCTCACGTACCTTTTGTGGGACTGGGAAGGGCTGGTGGGAACCAGGATCCCGAAGGGGAAATATTTGATGGTGTGAAAATGCACAGCCCGAACAAGATCTACATCTTTGTTGGGAAGAGAGGACAAGGCAGGCTCTCAGATTAGCTGATGCAGGCCAGGGCTGTTACAAGGTGCTGCAGCCCTGGACTGATGTGGCTGGTATGAAAAGCTGAGGCTGAAACCAAGGTGTGGCAGAAAGTCAGCAGATACCTTCTTGCCAGGACAGACACATACCCCCTTGCCAATGGGCTTTGTTTTAATTTCTGAGCACATGTAAAGGATGCATTGGAAAGGAAAACCCCACAAAGGCTGAACTGGGTGACCACGGGGAACAGCCAGTCTCCCCATGGCTGAGATACAGCTGGCAGCACCATGATCGTTCAGGTGAAGAGTTGTGCACAGTGGACAAGCTGTTCATTTGTATGGTGCATCCTCATGAGCCCCAGCTCACAGGTAAAGAGGGTCTACCCTCTACCTTACCCCATCTCTCCAACCAGCAGCCAAGAGAGCAGAGGGCTTCACTCTTCACTGCCAGAGGAGAGGGCATGACCCAGAAGTGAGTCTCTGAGGGATGTCCCACAAGTCCCAGTACTTCCCAGCTGCTCTCTCACACTCAGAAACTCCTTGTGTGCTCAGGCATAATATCTCCCCATCTGAGTGAAGAGCATGGTGGGGCCCTGCTCGGGGGCCATGGAGCCCCTCACCTCTGCTTCTGGCCTGCCAGCCCACAGATCTCCATCCTGTGATGGCAGCTGCCCTGATCTCCAACAAGCCAGAGTTTGTGAAGCTGTTCCTGGAGCAGGGAGTGCGTCTCAAGGAGTTTGTCACCTGGGACACCCTGGTTTACCTCTACAACAACATGGCACCATCCTGCCTGTTCCACAGCAAGCTGCAGAAGGTCATGCTGGAGGAGAGAGAGCACACAGCTGGCTCCAAAATGCCAAGAATCCAACTGCACCACGTCTCCCAGGTGTTGCGGGAGCTCCTGGGCTGCTCCACACATCCTCTCTACCCCAAGCCAAAGCACACGGAGCGGCCCCGGCTCTCCATCCCAGTCCCGCACATCAAGCTGAATGTACGCATCTCCAGGTTACCTGGTGGCAGGGTTGCGTTAGGGAGGGGGACGCTGGCTCAAGAAACCATCCTGGAGGTTCCAGCTGGGTCTCCGTCCTCTTGCCTGCTCAAGAATCCCACTTAAAGTTCCTCAAAGCCCTGCCCAAGTCATCTGCCCCACCCTCCTACGCCCACTCTGGTGGACAGGACTCAGTGGGGTGGGTGCACTGGGCAGGACGGGCACATCCCCACATGGTCCTGGCCCTAAAAAAAGTGGCATTTCCAGCATGACTCCAGTCTTGGCCACCCCACTATCTGCAGCAAAGGCTCTTCCATGGGTGGTGGAGGCAGGCACCCGGGGTTCAGGGGTGGCTTTGTGCTGAGGGGCTGGCTGCTTTCTGCAGCCTCTTGGCAGGGGAACAGGTCTGACCATCACATGCCTTGCAGGTTCAGGGGTCAAGTCTCCGGTCCCTCTACAAGCGCTCTGCTGGCCGAGTCACCTTCACCATGGACCCAGTCCGCGATCTGCTTATCTGGGCTGTAGTCCAGAACCGCAAGGAGCTGGCAGAAATCATCTGGGCCCAGGTATCACAGCCCAGAGCTGTCAGTCCCAGCTGAGAGGCTCAGATGGAGCCAAACCTCCCAGCCCCAAGAGGAAAGATTGCACCTGCTGGCATTTCAGACAGCCGGCGAGCTGGCCCATGGTGGTGCCTGAGCCTGACCCCCAGCCAAATGGGAGACAGTTAGTGAGCCTGTGGATGCTTGATGTTCACCCCCAAACACACACCATGATGTCAGATCCCTGCCTTCCCAGCCAAAATGTACACTGCAGGCAGAGGTGATGTGCTGGGCCAGAAGTGTGCTCTTCCTTGCAGAGGCTGAGAGGGCTCAGCCCACTGCAGGAAGGACACAAGGGCATGGCACCTGGGGTGTGCTGAGGCATGGTACCTGCTTCCACCCATAAACAGCATCCCCAGGGCAAGAGGCAATGTGGCTGGCAGCATGGTTAGTGTGCTGTGCAGAGCCATGGAGTGACACCATCCCGTCACCCAAGGCTTACCACTAGGAGACAAGGGGTGTCCTCAGATTCCCAATGCCAGTGGGTTACCTACTGCCCCTGCACCCAGAGAGGAGCACAGCTCAGCCCTTGTGACGGCAAGTTGTCCATCCTGAGCAGCAGTCTGCTTGGGACACCTTCCTTCCCTCCTGTGGGAGCTGTGGGGGCCTTGGCAGGACTACCAGGACTTGCAGGATAGGGCACAGAGCCCCACACTCTCTCTGGCCTCTTCTGCTCCAGAGCCAGGACTGCATGGTGGCCGCACTAGCCTGCAGTAAAATCCTGAAGGAACTTGCCAAGGAAGAGGAGGACACTGACACCACTGATGACATGCTGGCCCTGGCTGAGCAGTATGAGCACAAGGCGATTGGTGAGCAGGAGGGGACCAGCAACCTAGAACTGCTCTCATGCCCTGCAGGTCTGGATAGCTTTGCCCAGGAGGTGTCTTGGGGTGATGGGTGGGGTGGGTGGTGCCAAACAGGGGTCCCCTCATCATGGTCAGGGTCATGGTGCTGCAAGTGCTGTGCCCAGGTGGTGGTGGTAGCACAGAGGGTGCCACTGTGTGGTGCAATGTCCAGATCCTGCTGCAGAAGGTGACTCTGCAGGTGCCTTGCTGAACACCAAGCTGGCCCTGGAGCTCAGCCTTGTCTCCCTGGTCCCTGCCTGGCCAGGTGTGTTCACAGACTGCTACCGCAAGGATGAAGAGAGAGCCCAGAAGCTCCTCACCCGTGTCTCTGAGGCCTGGGGGAAGACAACCTGTCTGCAGTTGGCATTGGAGGCCAGGAACATGAATTTTGTGTCCCATGGGGGTGTCCAGGTGGGTTCCCAGCAGTGGTGCTTGGAGGGGAAGTGCTCAAGTGTCCCCTGCCCCAGATCCACTTGTTGGCAGCAGTGGGGGTCTGCCCTGAAGCCCCACTCTGAGGTGGGGGCTTCTGTAACCAGTGCTCCTCTTCCTCCTCACAGGCCTTTTTAACCAAAGTCTGGTGGGGGAAGATATGTGTGGACAATGGGCTTTGGCGGGTGATCGTGTGCATGCTGTTCTTCCCACTTCTCTACACCAGCCTCATCACCTTCAGGTACTTCTTGCAGCTGGGGCATGTGTGCACCAAGGCTGGCTGGGTGAAGCTGCCATGGCATCTCCCTGGGCAGCTGAGCCCCGCTTCCACCCCTGCTGCCCGCAGAGAGAACAGGCTGCAGCCTGTGGGCTGCCTGATGCGCCTCCGAGCCTTCTTCACAGCACCTGTCGTCATTTTCCACATGAACATCCTCTCTTACTTCACCTTCCTGTTGCTCTTCGCCTACGTCCTGATGGTTGACTTCCAGCCATTGCCGTCCTGGTGGGAGTACCTCATCTACTTCTGGCTCTTCTCCCTGGTGTGCGAGGAGACCCGCCAGGTATGGGGCAGGCAGAGGAGGTGAGAGGAGGGAGAGACACCCATCTAGGTGATCCTGGAAGGTCCTACGTAGCTCACGTTCCCATGCTGCTTCTCATGTCACTATCCATTCAGAGAGGTCCCAGCTCAAGGGACTGCCAGATCCCCCCATCTCTGAGGCCAGAGAATCTCTTTGACTGTGTCTGGCTTGGCCCTGGGTACTTACAGAAAGACATGCTGTTTTGAGCTGAAAACATCAGGAGATGGAGGGACCACCTCCTTCCTTGGGCATTTATTCTCAGAAGCATTTCGAGGCTTTGCTTGACATTTGATTTTTTTCAGCTTTTGCTTCAACATCTCAGTGCTTTTCTTCAACAGACTAAAGAGCCCCATGTCTCAGGTATCTCTCCCCATGCTCCTTCCACGCCCCTATAGAAAACCATGTTAGGTTCTGGTTAACTTCAGGTAAGCAAGAGAATCCAGTGATGGCCAGCAATCTGTGCGGTCCTGCCCCTCTACAAGGCACATGAGCATCTTACAAGGCTTTCACTGAAATACCAACCTCTCTTCTCTTCCCAACAGCTGTTGTATGATCCAGATGGGTTTGGGGTTGTGAAAATGGCTTCCCTATACTTCAAGGACTTCTGGAATAAGTTGGATGTCTGTGCCATCCTAGTCTTTATCACAGGGCTGACTTGCAGGTGAGTTGCAGAGCCACTTACCTGGCAGTGCGCAAGCTCAAGTGACAGCTGTAGGCTGTAAAACTAGTGAGAATTGTGCAGGTTTTTAATTGCAACTTCTTCCAAAGGCCAGTGAAGATTTTTATGGTTTGTGATTAATTCTGACCAATTTGCCTCTGGTTTCAGCTGCTTTTAGGAGAGATGTTTTTCATGCTGCAATCTCTCACCCAGCACTCTGGGGAAGCTCACCAATATTACAGAAATGTAATGTTGCAAGATCAGAAAAAAACCCACACTGGTGGCACTGAGATGTTTCCTTTCCTTTCTTCTGTGCCCAGGCTGATCCCATCAACTTTATATCCTGGGCGCATCATACTGTCACTGGCTTTTATAATTTTCTGCCTGCGTCTGATGCACATTTTCACAGTCAGTAAAACACTGGGGCCCAAGATCATCATTGTGAAGCGCATGGTGAGAGCTCCCCTCCATCCTGCCAGGGTGATCAGCTAGAGCAGCTGGATGCCTGCATGGGATGGATGTGCCAGCCGTGTTATCCTATCCTGGAGTGGGGTTTGCTCCAGGACACAATTTTGCTTCCCCTCTGTCTTTGCAGATGAAAGATGTCTTCTTCTTCCTCTTCCTGCTAGCAGTGTGGGTGGTGTCCTTTGGGGTTGCCAAGCAGGCCATCCTGATCCACAATGAGGAACGTGTGGAGTGGCTTTTCCGTGGTGTGGTCTACCACTCCTACCTGACCATCTTTGGTCAGATTCCCTCCTACATTGACGGTAAGGGACACTGTCCTGTGACAGCGTGTGGCATGAGGAGGGTGGCTGCGACAAGGCTGAGGGGTACCAAGCTCATGCTGCAGTCTGCCTAGCTCCTGCTGTGTTGGCCTGTGGACATCCTGCACAGGGCTCCTCTCCAAGCGCAACGTAAGGCTGGGAGGGAGTAATGACAGAGTGTGGGGATGGAGCCCCACTCTGGTATGTTGGGAGCATTGCCACCAATGCAAACCCAGGGACTGCACCTGCCCAAGCAGTCAGAAGAGCACACTAGCAAAGGCACAGGAGCATGAGTTGATCCAGCTCAGTGTCGCAGCTGCAAAGCTGGTGGCAGTGAGCCAGAGCACCTGGGATGATGCAGATCGAGGTCAAGCTAAGCCCCTGTGATGCTGGCCACTTTCAGAGAGCACAGCGTGATCCCTGTGACACTGTGAGGTTTGGCTGCAGCAGAGTCGTGTTGTGCTCTCTTGCAGGGGTCAACTTCAATATTGACCAGTGCAGCCCCAATGGGACCGACCCCTACAAGCCCAAGTGCCCAGAGACAAATGAGGACAACAAGAAACCCATCTTCCCAGAGTGGCTGACGGTCATCTTACTGTGCCTGTACCTGCTCTTCACCAACATCCTCCTCCTCAACCTCCTCATCGCCATGTTCAAGTGAGTTTGACCTGGCCCCATGGTCCTGACAGTGAATCGAGCTGGCTTTGCTTGCAGGCTTGGCCATGGCCAGGGCACCACACACTGAGAAAGCATAAGGAGGGTCCTGGGGCACATGCTGACCAGAGCACAGGGTGCTTTGGAGGGGTTATAGATATGGTAGAAATAGCAGGTGCAGGCCAGGGCTGATCAGGGAGACGGGTAGGAGCCTGGGCACCATACAGACACGATGTGCCCCCTCATCCCCTTGGCATGGCTGACACCTGGGCTCTGCCCCAGCTACACCTTCCAGCAGGTCCAGGAGCACACAGACCAGATCTGGAAGTTCCAGCGGCACAACCTGATTGAGGAGTACCATGGCCGCCCACCCGCGCCTCCGCCCTTCATCCTCCTCAACCACCTGCAGATCCTGGTCCAGCGAGGCTTGCTCCGCAGGCCGGCCACACGCCACAAACAGCTCAGTGAGGACCAGCATCTCCCCTCCTGCTCTTTGCCCCCTCCCCAGGGCATGGCATCATGCACCGAGGCACGAGGCTTGGTGTCTGGGCTGCAGTACCAGGGTTTGGGATGCCCAGGGATCTGACAGCACTGCCATCCCCTTCCTCTGGCAGAAGAGAAGCTGGAGAAGAATGAAGAAGCTGCCCTCCTGTCTTGGGAGATGTACCTGAAGGAGAACTACCTGCAGCACCAGCAGCGCCAGGAGAAGCAGAACATGGAGCAGAAGATCCGAGACATTGCACAGAGGTACCAGCACTGCTGAGACAGGGACATCCTTCTGTCCTCCAGTGTCTTGGGCAGGGAAGATTTGGGATTAGTGCAGGAGTGGCTGCTGAGGGCGTTCCTCTCTGCACTGTCCCTCCAGGGTTGATGTACTGGCAGAGCTGCTGGACTTGGACCGGGTGAAGAGGACCCGTCTGGTGGAGCAGAGACTGGTCTCTCTGGAAGACCAGGTGAGGCAAAAGCTGAGCAACTACCTAAGAAAGGTGGGGTTTTCCAGAGGCTGAGACAACTGAACCAGGGCACAAGAGAAAGCCCCTCTGAATCAATCCCCCTTCAGATAGTTTGAGTTTCCTTGCCAAAACAATAGCATCTGAGAGGAAAAGGTTTATGGGAAGTGTTCTGTTTGACTCCAGAGTGAACAGGAAGGTGGGAAGTGGTGGGATGAGCCCTTGCCTCCACTGGTCACCCAAGAAATTAGATCTGTCCCAGCTCTTCTCCTTGGCCTGAGAGGACCCTCCAGACCTTCTGGAGATGGGGGATTCTCTGCCCCTCCCCGTGAAGCTGTTCTACACCCTGCACAAGCAGTGGGCTGCCCGGGGAGCTGGACCAGGCCCTGGCTTCTCCTCTCTGAGATGGCTGCAGCACGGCTGCTGTTTCCACTTCCATTTCCAGCTGCTTTGAAAAAATGTTTCCCTGGAGGTGGTTTTCCAAGCCAATCATTAGGGGACAGCAAGGATCCCTGCTGCTCTGGGGGATGAGCAGCCAGGAACCAAGGGCAGCAGCGCCTCCTGCGAGGGCTGTATCCTGCAGTATTCAAGCAAGGGAGCCTGCGGGGCAGCTGAGGTCCAGGAAGGCTGACCTTCTCCTGTCCCATGCAGGTGCAGCAGAGTGCCCAGGCCCTGAGGTGGATAATGCAGGCGCTGCAGGGCAATGGCTTTGGCTCAGGCGAGGACATGCCACCCGTGGGTAAGTGGAGCCTGACTCCACTCTAGCAGCACCAGGGAAACCCAGAGCCTTGCGCTGGCACCCATGGGGCTGCGGACCAGGGCTGAGCAGCCCCTTGCACCCCTCTGTTAAGCAGCAAGGCAGAGGCAGAGGCTCCTTTGGGTCAGGAAGGTCTGGAGGCTGTGTGAGGCCGCCCAGCCCCTCCTGCAGCCATTCCCACCCTCTACTCCAGAGCCCTCCCTGGAGCCCATGGCTGAGGCTTTCCACTGCAGCATCCCTGGGGGAGTTCCTCTGGGGCCTGCTGGAAGGGATGCTGGGGGCTAGGCCCCCAGGGGACATCAGCATCCCCATGGAAAGACCCAGCCAGCCCCCTCAGCAGAGCCACGGTCTGCAGCACTGGACTCAGCACCCTGCTTTGCGGGGTCTCGTTGTCTGTGTCTGCCTTGCAGGCTCCAGCAAAGCCTTGGAGATGAAGAACATTGACCTGGAGGGGAAACCCGAGGAGACCCAGCCCCTGTACCATGTGCTTGCCCGAAATCTCCTGTACCCAGGGTCTCACACCCTCCGCTTCCCTGTGCCTGATGAGAAGGTGCCCTGGGAGGTAGGAGCTGTGACCCTGGGCAATGGGTCTGGGATGGGGGTGGACTGTAAGGCAGATCCCAACAGCAGTGGGAACAGACCCATCGTTGCACCCATGTCACACTTGGGAGCTCCTGTTTTTCCCAGCCCTGGGACAAGTGGCTTCCTGGAGCAGCTGCTCCAGGACCCTCCCAGGACAAGGAGAGATGAACAGGCATCGTTCCTGCTGGGATCTGCCATGCTAAGGATGCCTGGTTGGGAGACAGAGGGGACAAACACCTGCCTCCGCATTTCCTGAATCGGGGCTGGCTCAGGGTCAGGGACAGGATCTGGCACCAGCTTCCATGGGGGCATGAGTGAGAGGCACCAACCCTCCAGCTGAGACCTGGAGCTCAGCCCCCAACCAGGGCCTGGAGCCCTGTGTGCCTTGGGGAATGATGGCATGAGCTGGGCAGAGGAAGGGAGTGGGGCAGAAATTGTCTCTGGGGGTCCCAGTCCCTGCCTGCCACCAGAGCAGGGATGCAAGGGGGGCCTGACAGGGCCACATGCTCTGCAGGTGGACTTCCCAATCTACGACCCTCCCGCCTACTCGGCTGACCACAAGGACATGTCTGTGCAGGACCCGTTCAGCCTGTGAGTGTTCCCCTGTGGCTCCCCACTCCTCTGCCCCTTCCCCTGGGTGGCACAGCCAGCCCTCTCTGCCGGGCTGCCTCCCACCCCCCAGTTCCTTGGAGTCTCTCCTGAAGATCAACTACAACAGCATGGATGGGCTGATCAACCGGCAGAGCTTCCACGGCCTCTACGCCGTGCAGGATGGGCTGCCGCTGTGAGTGCATCTGCCATGAGGGCAGACAGGCTCAGTGGGAGCTGGGGTCCCCGGCTGTAGGCAAAGCACCAGGGAGATGGAGAGTCCAGGTGGGCCTGGGTGCATCCATCCGCATCCCACTTCCCTACGGCTAATGGTGGGGCAGGGATGATGGCATGCATTGTCCTCAGGGCTCCCCCCACCAAAAAAAAACCCAAGCACCCCAGGAGAGGTGCAGTGCAGTGGTGGGAAATTTGGGAAAGCAGTATAGGGCTTTGATCAGCATGACAGGGTGCTCAAAGGGACCCTGGTGCCATCCTAGCCCACTCGCTCTCTCCCTGCCAGGAACCCCATGGGCAGGACGGGGCTGCGAGGCCGTGGGAGGCTGCACTGCTTTGGGCCCAACCATGCCCTGCACCCCGTTGTGACCCGGTGAGTGTGTGGGGACAGAGAGGTGTCCTTGCTCCAGGACAGGGCTGTGGAGCTGGAATGGAAAAGGGGGCACAAAGCCATCACAGAAAGTCTGGGACCTGGCAAAACCCACTGCTGCCCATTCAACCACCACTGGGCAGGAGGGAGCTGAGTCCGGCTACAGTATAACAGGGGCCTCTCTCACAGCTGGAGGAGGAATTTGGATGGGTCCATTATAAGGAAGAACCTGAAGAAGATGCTGGAAGTCCTAGTAGCCCAGTACCCGCTGTCGGATGTCTGGGCTCTGCCCGGGGTAAGAGCTGGTGAAAACCAGCTGGTGCAGTTTGGGGGAGTGTCTGGGGAGACAGGGCTGGCCCAGCCCAACAGCTGGATGCCCTGTGGAAAAAGGAGAAACACAGACAGGTGTCACAGCCTTGTCCGAGGAGGTACCTCTGCCCCTCCCACAGAGCATCCGAGTGTGGGGTTGTGCTGCCAAGAGTGCTGGGGGAGCAGTGGTGAGGTTACATACCCCCACCCACCCTGACCCCCTGTGTCCTGCTTCTCCCTCCTCCTCCACGTCTTCAGTTGTCACACGTCCTTCACAACATAAGCCATTGGCATAACGTGCTTTGACAGAGAGGTCCAGACGTTGAAGCAGGCAAACATGGACATGCTTGGGCACAGCTGAGGACTTCTGGCAGGAGAGGGAGGAAGGGAGGGAGGCACTACTGCTGCCTGCTCCCTCCACCAGATCTTGTGGCATCTTCTGCAGTGGTGGCATCCGCCCGATGGCCAAGCTGGTGGCAGTGAGGGAGGCTGGGCTAGGCTGATGGCGGCCCCACGCTGACATCTGCTTTGGCACAGGGGTCACTGGAGCCTGGTGAGACGCTGCCATTGAAGCTCAAGTGGATCCTGCGCCGGGAGTTCTGGCCGCAGTTCCAGAATTTGCTGAAACAAGGCACTGAGGTGGGGGGCATGCAGGTGTCCCAGTGGTACAGGGGCACGTGGGTGTTACAGCAGTACAGGGGCATGCAGGCATCACCCCAGTACAGGGGCATATGGGTGTCACAGCAGTACAGGCACATGGGGGCATCACCATAGTACAGGGACATGTGGACATCATGATGGCACAGGGGCATGTGGGTGTCCCCAGGGTACAGGGGCAGGGTGCATCGCCCCTTGGCCACTGCTCCCACCAGGGAGGAATGGCTGAGGGAGGTGGAGACACACCGTAATGGCCTCACACCATGCAGGGGTCTGGGAGGCAGCCCAGGGACCCCAGGGATGGGCTGCACACACTGGTGTCTCTGCCAGCTGCGATCACTCTCTGTGCAGTGGGAACAGGGCACTGGTCTCCAGTGGGGCAGAGAGGCTGTGGGGTGATGCTCCACCACCCCTGGGGCCTCTTGGTGTCCTCAGAGAGATGGTGAGGGCTCTGCTAATGTGGCAGTCCTTCACTGTGCATAGATACACAAGGGGTACCTTGACGACCCCCGCAACACGGATAATGCCTGGGTTGAGACCGTCGCTGTCAGCGTGCACTTTGACAACCAGAACGATGTGGAGATGAAGCGGCTGAATTCGGTATGGGTGCCTCACCTCCACAGTTCCCTGACCCAGCTCTCAGTGGGCATGGGGCAAGGGAGCCAGATCTCCAGATCCTGATCTTGCCCTCATCAGGAGTGGGCTTCTCCAACTGCATGCAATGGAGGAAGAACATGGGGATGAACACGGGGTGGGACTGCACCAGGGGTCCCAAAAAGAAAGGGCAGGAGGCTTGGAACTTGAGGTGCTGATGAGCATGGCTGGCATGGCCCCTCACCAGCAGTGCGTACATGATGTCTCTGGCCACCTTCCAGTTCCTCCAGGGCTGCGATCCGGAGCTGTGCATCCGCTGGCAGGTGCTGGACAAGAGGATCCCCCTGCATGCCAACCACAAGGAGCTCCTCCACAAGGTCTCAACCCTCCTTGGAGCCTACTACTGAGTCCTCAAGCACAGGCCAGGCGTCCTGCTGCCCCAGACCAGGTTCTGGTTGGGACCTGCAGCTCTACCACAGCTCACCTGGGAGATCATGGGCAGCTACCGAAGACTAGGTACTTTGGTTCCCTCTGTGAATATACATTGCAGGTCTCTGGGAGGAAAACTGTCCCCTCCCCAGCAGCTGGGGGCAGGGGCTGCCTGGGCAGTGCCTATGCAGCATCCTGGTCACCTGAGCCACCAATCTCAGCCCCAGCTTGTCTCTCAGTGCTTGCACATCAGCCACAGCACTAGCCCAGGGCTTGGGCCAAGCAGAGCCACAGGGCTGTTTCTGCAAGGTGTTCCTTCTTTCAGCTCCCACCTGCTCTTTGCTTTGGTGTGGGCATTGGGTATTTGCCAGCCTCAGCTACCCCTCCACCCAGGATATCTGCTGGGCACCTCTGCTCCACAGATCCTTCTCTGAGCCCTGGCAGCTCCACTGCCACAGCTCCCAGAGGATTGCTCTGGAGAAGGCTTGGGGTCTTTTGCACCTAAAGCTCCTGACTGCCCTGCAAGTCGCTCCTGCGGCAGCTGTCCCCCTATCTCTGGTTGCCTCAGACCCAACAACATGGTCCTGAGCTGTGATCCAGCACTTCTGAAGGTGTGAGCAGCTTTTGGCTTATATATGGTTTCATAGCTCTGCACAGGTCCACTCCCCATGTCCCATACTGTTATGTGGTCCTGCATGTGTATGCTGAGCACCATCTTGTAGCTGAACTCCTTCCCTCTGTCTGAGCCAAGGCACCAGCTAAATGTTACCTCCTTGCCCCCATGCCCTTGTGCACATGGTCGGAAAGGGGCAGCTTGCTGGGACCCAGATGAAAACACATGCTCTGTGGTCCCTTGGGCAGGTAGGGACAGGAGAGAGGACATCAGTGTGTCCATCCCAGACATCTCTGCTTTTAAGGGGTCCTTCACTCACCTTCTCTGTTGCCTGCCACGGGGAGAACCAGGCACAGCGGAGACATTTCTCAATAGCCCAGAACAGCCCCTGGGCTGGGACTGCTCAGGGAGGGATTTCAGTTCCCCCACCCTCTCCTGATG